TTCCTCCAACAGTATTTACTCTGACCCCCCTGTACCCTGTTCCTCCAGCAGTATTTACTCTGACCCCCCTGTACCCTGTTCCTCCAGCAGTATTTACTCTGACCCCCCTGTACCTGTCTCTTCCAGGCCCAGCCATCGGTTCGTTCCGGCCTCGGAGCGTTACCCGGCCCCTCTGCAGAGGTACAGACAGGAGAGTCGACAGAGGAGACAGGCTGAGCTCCTCGCTCTGCAGGAGAGGACTTGTCTGTCCAGGACCGACCCCCCCCCTCCTCCTCCTCCTCCTCCTCAGCACGAGGAGCCTCGTCTCTGCTCCAACCCCTCACAGACCAGAACCAGTCCCACCATGAGGGTAGGACTGTAGACCCTCATACTAAATTTTGATGGCTGCTTTTGTCTTAAATTTGATTTAATCTAAAACCTTACCACACTCTTGACACAAACCTTTGTTGCTCCAGGTGGAGAATGTTTCCAGAGGTCTCGGCATCTTAGCAGCAGTCAACACTGAAAGGTGAGCAGCTCTGACTGCACTTCCTGTTAAACCCCAGATCCCCTTTAAAAAAAGAAAACAGGAAGAGTTTCAACCTGAAAATGACCAGCCTTTTTTACCAGGTAACAGTCAAATCAAGTTAGTGTTATTTACAAAGTGCTTATTAGATGATATACATTAAAATGAGAAGATGGGAACTTGGCTCTGTGTTTCTCTGTTGCATATTACACTTCAACAGTTTTCACAATAAAATCATGCATCCTTCTACATTCATTGAACCGTCTTAAGTGAAACAAAGCAGGAAGAATGAACAGCTGTAACTCCTTTAAATGCAGGCAGTTATCTGTGTGAAGTTAGGAAGAAGTAAAACATTTCTTTACTGTTTAAATATAAAAGCCTGTCCACTCAGCAGCTCCATTGACGGTGAAGTGAATCTACGTTTAGCTCACTCCTCTCTTTCGATGTCTCGCGTCGTCGTATCCTCCAGGGGGCGCTCTCCTCAGCGGGCACCTTCCTCCTCCACCCCCCCTCCTCCTCCTCCGGAGTTCATTCCTTACGTCCGGACTGATGAAGTCTTCAACATGGATCCACTGGAGCCTGCTGACACCCCCCCCACTGCCAACACACACAGGTGACACACACACACACACACACAGAGATCAGATGATTCGTCAGTTAGTCGATCAACAGAAAATGCTGCTCAATTACAGTGAGTGAACTTATGCTGCTGGAAATATTAACTAGTAGATTTGATTGATGTAATCTATTTCGATAATCCATTAATTGTTTGTTTTTGAGCAAAATAACCAAATATTCTCTAATATCAGATCCTCAAATTGTCAACTTTAGGAACTTCAACAGAGGAGGGATTCATCTTCCTTTCAATAGATACATACAGAGAACCCACAGTAACAACAGTCACACTACAATAAGAGGAAACAGCATAACGTCTGCTTTATATACCGAGAGTAAACTCTTCTGTTAATTCTTCTCCTCGTCAGAAGCTCCTCCTCAGAGCTCAGCATCTCCTCCTGCTGCTCCCTCACATCGACTCCTCCACTCTGAACTGCTTCGTAACACACAGACACACCGACAGCAGGAGATCCTCAGAGGCCTGGCCCAGCTACGGCAGGTAACACACACACACAAAGACAGACAGACAAAACGCACACACACACACACACACACAGGCAGACAAAACGCACAGGCAGACAGACACACTTTCTGGTAGCAGCTTTTCTGATGTAAAGATTTGCCGTTTTTCTGTTTTATGATTGTAAAGTTTCGTTAAATTTGTGTCAATAATAACGGTTATTGCCGGTGTTGTTATGGTGTTTAGTACAACTCTCCTAAAACTGGGGGACTTGTGAGAAACAAAACAACATGGTGAAATGGAACCAGCAGATGCTGAGATATCATCACGTTTAGTCCTGTGTGTGTGTGTGTGTGTGTGTGTGTGTGTGTGTGTGTGTGTGTGTTCAGGGTTTATTACAGAAGCAGAGGGAGCTGGAGACAGATCTGAATCCTCTGCTGAAGCGCCATGACAATGAGCACCGGCCGCCCACAGCAACGCACCGCAAGTGACCTCTGACCCCTGCTCCGTGTGTGTGTGCCGACGGTGTTTGGACCAGCCGTCATGGAGAACATTAAACACAAACAGGGGCTTGTTCAGTCGTCCAACACTCTGAGACTGAATGTTCAATGTGAGATTTTGGGAGTTTTCAAAGTGAAGCTGATTGTGTCAGAGTGAATGTGACGGATGCTCTTGATTTTAGGCTGTTTCAGGAGGCAGAAGTGATCGTTTTATTACCAGTAAATAGCAGAAGCCCTGAGAGAGAGAGAGAGAAAGAATCCGGTGATCCATTTTTATTACTAATATAAATAGTTTTCTCTCCTGTTTTCAGACTAATCTTTCCTAGTGTTGTTGTTGTTGTAATACTCATTTTGGCCACAAGAGGCCAAAGTGCACCACCACCCCGAGTTCTAAATAGGACTTATAGAAGCATCATATCTTCTGCACAGGTCTTCTTCCAGGCCACACTGTTATTATAATAACAGTCATATTATAATTATAAGACTTTTTATTTACCGCAAACAATGTTAACTCTACAATGCATTTTTACTGATACTAATTTTAATTAATCTCATGTTGATTGTTTTTTTTTTAATGACAGCCTAAGGGGAGACAATCCACTTCTATTTGAGCCGGTTTGGGTTTATATTTACTCGAACCTTTGACTGTGATGGGCAGCTAAACATCGTAACACTGACATTCTGAACTCACTGTTACACCACACCTGCTGTTAAATCATAGAAACGTGTCTGGAATAAAAAGTAAAGTGTGAGTTTCAAGTTAAACACGAGGACTCGACTGAGCTTTTAACTTCTAACGCCTCATTGTTTTATTTAAATCTACTCCATCAGTTCTACCTCACATCAAGATCATCATAAGACAAACATGTTTATTTATCACTAACTGGATTTATGAGGTTTTACTATCATGTTGAAGATTGTATCTTAAAATTCTGTTTTGAATGCACTTTCCATAAGAATGACACTGTGTCAAACAGGTATAGTTAAACTTTTTTTTATAAATTATTGTCCCTGCAGACGAGCTCAGCGCTTCTTTAAATCATTAATATACGAGTTTGTTTGTTTCTTCAGCTTCCTGCTGGCCGAGGAGCTCCGTGTTTCTTTGTGCTTCTTTATTGTGGAGTTTCTTGTTTTATTGTATTTTTTTATTTATTGCAAATGAAATAAATAATGTCAAGTGTACCTCGACCTTTTACAATCTATTTCTTACAATTGCGCTTAATTTTGATCTATTGTATTTTGGCAACTGCCTGATTCCTGAATTTCCCACAGCTGACACTGTTAAAAAGATAAAACATGTTTCAAAACTCCATTGAAACTGTTGGTCTTTACTACATGTTGATTGATTGATGAACACAGGTCAACTTTGAAAGCCAGTTTGTTCTTTATCTCCAGCAGGAGAAGTTAAGATAGTTTGTCATTGTTTTATTTTGTGAATCATCTCAATTAATAATAAAAACGTTGAACTCACCTTGTCAACAGCTAAGATCTTGAGCAGATGGAGAAAGCTTACATTGACAACTAATTAACAAATAATTAATAAACATACACGTTAATAAACTACGATGAGCCGTGATGTGTCATTTTCTGTGTTGCTTTAGTTGTTGAGCACCTTTTCCACTCACACACACCTGTTTTCAGTTACTCTGGATGATCACACCTGTGATCATGTGGTTAGTGGACCGCAGCTTTGATGGGAATTGATGTCACAAATCTTCATCTTCCACTAAGAGGGATAAAGGTGTAATTTACCCCACTTTAACAGGTTCAATAAAGCTAACATGAAACTCAGGAAGACGTCACTAAATGAGTGTGAACATCCACAAAGTCCTGAGAAGAGGTGTAATCAACCAGAGTACCTGAACACCTGTGTGATGTTCAGAGGGTTTAAAAAGAGCTGCAGGTGTGACAGAGTTTAACAGGACAACCCGGAAGTTAGGGTCTCACTGCTTCCCTCGACAAAACTACTGCTTTCTGTATCGTCTCTGAAAATAAACTCTGTGGCAAACAAAGGTTTATGATTCTTACATGTTATGTTCAACAAGATAATCTTCACAAATAATCACTTTTATTATATTTATACTTTTTTGAAGCGTGAATCTAATCACCAGAAATAAAAAGCTAACGGACTCGTGGTCTCACTTAGCCACTTGTTAGCAACCGCCTTTTTTTTTTTTTTTAAAGCTTCAAAACTCAAAATTATTTTACATTGTAGAACATTTTAAAATGTCTTCAGCTTGTTTTAACCACAGACCTTATTTTAGTCATCTAACCAAAAACACATTTAAAAAAACAAATTGACTTTAAAAAATGGTGACTCATATCCAGGTTTCAGGCCTCATTCCTGCAGCGCTCTATTAACCCTTAGATTTGTACAACTAAACATCTTTTGTCAAACGTGATAATGGTGAGTGTAACTTTAGTTGTGGCCACTTGTTCGTGGTGAAACAGCAGCAAAGAGGAACAGAACTAAACAGGTTTTAAAACATAAGTTATATTTAAAATTAGCTAGACATTGGCAAAAGAGGCTTTTCTCTAGTAAAGGAGTTTACTGGAGTAAATAAAGGCTTTGACCACTCGAGCTGCAACAATTGATTATTCAATAGAAGTAATTTCTGGTTCAAAAGTCAATGGTTCCGACATCTCAAATGTAAATATTTGTTGGTATTTTTTAGTCCTGTGTAGTTATAAAGTTTTGGTTTTGGACTGTTGATCAGACAAAACAAGTCACTTGAACACATCAGTCATTTTATGGAACATTTTCCAAAATCTTCATCAAAAGATGTCATTAGCTTCAGCAGCCATCTTTTAATGTTCTGTTTTACTTTAAGTGTTGAAACATATTGACTGACCTGAGTTTCTACTGCCAGCTTCTTTTCAGAGGTTTCTTAGAGGTGGACACTGTTGATGTAGAAAATCTTCTTTACTTCTGGCTTCAGGTGTTTGCAGACACATCTGTAGTTCTACTACCAGAGGGTGTTTGAGACAGAAGAATCTAAGTCTACTGGGAAACGTCCTGTGGAGCAAATGTGTTCTGCTCGAATGCCTCTAAGAGCTCCAGAGAACAACCTTTAATAATATTAACTCTTTAACACATTCTTTATCTTTCACTCTCCGTTTGTTATTGTGTGCCTTGTTGCCGGAAGACAACGTTGTGAACGTGAGTGACAGCTGGAGATGAAGTGTTGTCAGAGTTTGTTGTGTTGGAGAACTGAAAGCGTAGTTTAGTGTTATCTAAAACATTTTAGATGTCATGGGTACATATTTGGCAGATTTGAACAATGTGGATGTGAAGCGAGATGTCAGAACGAGACTTCTCCGATGGTGAAATCGTTGTCCTCAGTCACTTAAGACATAAAAACATTGGGAAAAATAGGGTCCAAAGTCTTTAAATCTACTTTAATTGAAGACGTTTCATAAGCGCTGTATTTGCCTTCAGACGAGGTCGGATGCAGTTTGTACAAACTGGTCTTGACATTCCATTAACTTATAAGATTCATCTTGTGCGTACAACATATTGTGGACAGAGTAAAAATAATAAAACCTTTCAGGTCTTGTTTACTGGAACGGAGTGGGCCCTTGACTCAGAACCTCCACTGTGCACAACCCAGCAGCTCGATCTGAGGTCAAGAACATCTCCAAGCAAATCCGCTGGTTTACGCAGGCAACTTTTAATACAAAAAAAAAAAGGTGTAAAAAAACATTTTATTTTTTTTTAAAGTTAAAACGAGTCTGTTACAGAGTCACGTCCTACTGTACAAACAGCAACTAAACACAAGCAGCTCCCAGAGTAACAAACCAAAACATTCAGTACAAAAAACGCTTATTTTCTTTTTACAAGACATTAAGAGCCCACTGGATGAAGTGTCTGTCCATCGTATTCCTTTACAGGTTGTTATTTTAAAGTTCTTTAATAGTCTCAAGAGTCCACTTTAAGAATCAGGGTCACGTTGGTCATGGCCATGATGCAACGAGAACAAATAAGCAGCTCAAAGTTTCCTTTTGAGAAATGAATTCGTCGGGTTGCTGGACTACAAAGTCGTTGACAGAAAACCGTTCAAACCGTCAAGTTGATGGCACGGATAAAACAACAGGGACGTTTACTCAGTTTACCTACCATTCAGTAAGAAGAGAATCTCTCAGAGGCAGAGTTTAAAAAGATGCCGGGTCAGGTCCGAGTGAGATTAAATAAAACCTCTGAAAACATGGCATCTGCTCAACTGTTCTTTTCATATCCTGTACACATGTTAAAAAAAAAAAAAAAAAAAAAGGGGCAGGAGCATTTTCCACTAGTTCCGGACTTCTTCGGCAACAACATGTCAACAGGAAGTGGTCGACAGGTTGTGGTTACAGAAGGTAGTAAACAGAGCAGGTTTCTGTTCTACTCTACAGCAGCTGGTTTCTGCTGTGTAAGCAGGAACAACAACTTATTTTAGTCCACACTGCATAAAAAGTTCAGAAAATTGGTTCAAGAAAATACAAATTCACAGGGTGGCAGATAATCTTCTTAGTGACTTTAAAAGGGTGGGGGGAAAAAGTGTCTGATGGTTGCAAAGTAATAAACAATGTTCTAGAACTAAGAATGTGCTCCTCCATTAAAGTTGATACAAGTAGAACAAATCTAATTCAAAATAATATGAACGGCCTGATCAATGTTCTGTATGTCTTTGCTGATAAGCTCTCTACGGTATCGAATACTAAACGATTCCAGAAAATTAATTGAAATAATTCTTCCAAGAAAGAAAAATGTTTTTCACTGTTTTCAGTTCCTCAAATGTGATGATTGTCTTTTTTTTTTAAATTATACGATAGTAAACTGATAACAGATTTTTGAATGATGGTGATGATACATCTCTTTAGGATGTGGGAAATTATAATGTAGAGGGTGAATGCTACACTTGCCACTATTAGCATTGCACGCTCAAAATCCTCGACAGAACCGTCGGTAGTCGGTCAACCAAACGGATTGATCGATAATGCAAATAATCGTTAGTTGCAGGACTAGCTCCCTCGCATTACTTTTGATGGTTGTTTCAGCGCAGCTCGCTTGTCTACTGCATTTTTCATGAATGAAGAGAAAAGTCGATCAACAACTAATCAACACATCAAAGGGAGTATTTTAGAAGCCACCCTGCAGGAGAACAGTAGTTTGAATTTGAAAAAAGAAATCCCAATATAAACCAGTGACAAAAGACTTTAAATAGGTGGAGGCAGGTCTGCAGCAGCACTGCGACCAGAAGGAGATCTTTGGATTTACACGAGTTGTATTGAATTCAATGGAAGACACCCGTCAAAATAAATCATGTTTTTGTTACTTTACACATACCCGACATCAATTCTTTAAAACTTCTGTTAAAAAAACAAAACAATTCCTTTCCAACCTAACTTTAAGCGAAGTGGTTCCAGTGCCTTGTTCCGGGTTCGAATCCCGCCTTGGGACCATAGTTGCATATCCTCATTTGTCCATCCCCCATTTCTGCACTCAACAAAAGATGAGTTCGTATTGCCAACATTCTTTCTGTAACCAATTTGATGAACCCGAGCGACTGAAACATCAAGATTCGAGGAAACTGATTTGTGCTACAAGTGTTTTGGGTCAGGGTTAGACTTCACCCTGATTTTAAGTTTATAATGAACCTTGGGAGCTTCATACAGTGTGGGGTCACTCCTCCTTCCTTCAGTCTAGCACCGGTTAGTATTCAGGATGTGCGTGTTTCGACCTCCACACAGGGTGGTAGTTTTCGGGAAAGTTCCTTGGTTTAACCAGCTGGTGCAGTTAAACCGTCTCTCTACATCCCATTAAAGCCTCCTCCACTTTTCCCCCCTCTATACCTGCTGCTGCCCTGACCGGCAGGGTTGTGGTAACCGCCCAGCAGTCTAGGACCAGTGAAGTCCCTGCCGGCCTGTTGCAAGCCCCAGACCAGGGCTGCTGCACTTGTGGGGCCCAGGCCCCTTGGCCAGACAGGCACAGGCCCCAGGAGGCTACCTCCGAGGGCAGTCAGGGGCGCCAGCATGGGGCCGCGCGAGAAAGGCTGGTTGGGGAATCGGGGCAGGTGGGGGGGTTGCAGGAGGCCGGCGCCCCGCTGCTGCTGCTGCTGGCTGTGAGGCAGTTGTTGTAGGTGTGATGGACTCGGCTGGACCTGCTGGTTGTTCATTTGCTGCAGAAGTTGTCGGGGCTGCTGGATCTGTTGTAGACGGAGCAGAGCAGGATTTTGGTTGTGTTAGCCGGTTCTGATGGTTCAGCGTATCGCTCTCTTGAGGAGCAAAGATTAGCATTTCTAACATTTCAGAGAACTGTAGAATACAAGTGGCCTTGGATGAGAGGATGTTAGACATAAAAGTAGACTAAGTCTTTTGTCTTTCAATAGACCATGTGATCTATTTAGTTTTAATTACCAAAATAAAAAGCAGGTACAAAAATATACAAATACAGAGTAAAACAATATGCCTGCTGTCCAAGGTTTTCTTTGAAGGGTGGTATATCAGTCTCTTCAAGACCTTCATCCTTGTTCTTCTTTTCTTGTTACTTTTCTTTTTATACAGTGGAGCTGAGAGGGTTTCCACGCCTGCTGAATGGCAGGGTGTATTATTTTATATATGGTTAAAATACTGAATGAATAACTATGAAAAACTGAAATTACGTAAGCAGTCAAGTTTCCCTATTTTTGAGCAAAGCTAAACTTGTGTTTTCAGCTCGTCAGTCTCTTCGGCGTGGTTTTCTTTTGGGTTGGATCACACAGGGAGCGCTGGCCCTCCCATCTCTTCTCTTGCATTCTGCCCCGGTGGTCCCGGCCTCATCTGAGGGGGAGTCTGGGCGGTTGCTCGAGGGACTGCGAGAATGCAGATTCTGTCCCCATTCTGGGACTGGACCTCGCACCAAGGACCTTCTTTGTGGTTGTAACAGGTTACTCCACAGGCCACCTTCTTCGGACCTCTTTCATTTGGCGGAGCCATGCCAATGAAGACAACAGTACTGTTAGCCTTGAGTTTCAAATATTGGTTGCCAGGCTTGAGATATGGCTGGTGGTCTGGTGTCCATCCTGGCCTGGCGTAGGAAATATCCTTCCAGGCATTGGGATTCGAAAGATAACTAGAGCTGAATTTATCCCCTTTGTGGTTGTACAGCTGCAGGCGTGGTTCACAGCTCTTGGCCAAGCCTTGCCGAGCAGTCCCCTGCTTTTCCAGGTAGCCTTCTTCCCCCTTGTTTTCCGTCAGTGCCGGTTGGGTCTGTGGGACATCGTTGCGGAGAGTCCACTTTTGTCCGTGAACAGGTGGTAGACGATGCAGCTGAAAGACGCTGTCAATATCAGGTTTGCTTCCCCCTCCAGTAGTGGTCTAGGGGTAAGGCAGCACATTAGATCTGTGTAAAACAATCCCGTTATACTGTTTTAAAAGCCACTGTGCGTCGGAGTGGTGTAACCATGATACTTAGCATGACTGCTGCTATGCCTATGGCTGTCCCATTTTGGCCCAAGTATAACTGCCTTTTTTGACAGGTTTTCCCTTAGTATCCTTAAATCCCCTAATGGGAATGCAACAGTTGGGGCCTTTGGAAGAAAACCTTGGGGGTTGCAGAGTTTTCTTCCATCACCATCACCTCCTGTGCAGGTCTTTTGTTCTTGGTCTTTGGCTATTCTCTGCTCCCATTCCTGCATGAAGTCAGGTAATGATTGGGTAGGAGGAAAAATGAGGGACTGCAATCCAAAAGGAACTTTTCCTTTGTGGGATTTATTTTTTTTTTGGTCCTGAGGGACATCCATTACATCAATCAGAGCCCTGCTAACCACACTGCTGGATCACACCCCATTGAAGGGAACGACCGGACATCCCGGTGAAATTCCAGCACGATAAAACACCTAATAAGGCAAAATGTCCATCCATAGCATTTTTTTCTGAGAACCAATTCAGTTCCTAATGAGGAAAGGGCATATAGTTGAAAATCTCTGAATATTTCAGAAAGGAAAGCCAGCGCTTTTCTGCAAGAGAAAATCACTACAAGGACACCTGGATGGACAGCCTTAAACAGAATCAGTCTCCCACCGGGGGGGTTTGGTAGCTTGAATAGAGACTTTCTTACGATTCTATGTAGCCTGTGGTTTAGGATGGTGGTGTTTCTGGTGAGCTCCAGAGTACAGATCATGGGTAACTTCCCGCTCGTGGAGTTCTTTCCTGGTCATCCAGGGTCTAATTGAGTAAGAGTTAGGAGTAGCCTATTCCCCTATGGATAGAGGGGTTAAACATGCTGACGGGGAATTCCGTGATGTTGGTTCTCCGATAGGAGGTGCTCCTAATTGTACAGGTACTGGTTAATAGATCCTGGAAATTTGGGTACCGATTCCGACGGAGGAGCCAAGTAGGGCGTCGGGCATCTCCCACGTAAGGTGCCCTTAATCAGATTACATTTTTGCAAATTAAGACTGAATCACTTCATTTGCATATTTATTTATTCTAGACCAAAAGTATTGAGCTTCTGGATTACCTTGTTTATGAGCTTTCTGATAATCAGAGAACCACAGTGTTGTTTGTTTTTGAAGATTTGTCTTTAGGTGGGTTCAGGGTCCAATATGGGTGAACTTTGAGGGCCCCTGTGACCTGAATGGTTGGTCCTTCTGTTGAATCAAACCACGTTGTAACGCTCTCTCATATAGGTTGACATTTAGGAAAATATTTATTAAAATCCAAAGGGGTAAAGTCAGAAAGTGATTGATTTCTCACAGTTTGCCCCACATGACTTGTGTGGGACTAGGTTGTGGTTGGGGGCTAGGTTGTGTAGCCATGTAAGTCTGTGTTCCCCAACGGGGATGTTCCTCACCATTTCATTACCTTGCCACTGATCGCATTATGCCTGGAGGGTCTCCTCCCTTTTCTTTTATGACTAAAGCTACTCCATCTTCAATGGTAAAATGGCTATTTACCAGCAGAACCATAGGCTGGGAAGGTTTGAAATTTTCCAGCCGTGAGTTTATGTCATGGATTTCCCAGTTACCTAGTTGGTATACATGTTCATTATCTCAAGGAGTTTACATCTGTATTTACAACCTGATCGTTGTCGCTTTCTCCTTTTAGCTCATGCTTCATGCCACTCCTGAGTGAACTGACCTGCCATCTCTTCAGAGTTTGAGGTAACAGAGCACTCTGTTCTCGGCTTGAAACAGGCGACTCTGCCAGATATGAATATATATAGTATTGACTCTGAGCTCTTTGAATACTTTCTAGTTTTGGTAAAATTAGTTTAACAAATGTTTACCTTTGGGTCTAAGTTTTTTTTGATTAATTTATTCTTGTCGTTTGAAAGAATGCAAACGGGTTCTACCTTAGGGTTTGCCAACGGGTCTTATTCTCACTTCGAACGGTTTACACAAGGTTACTCTTCTTAACCATTAGTGGTGTCCCTTTTCGGGCGCCACTAATGGTTAAGAAGTTAGCCAGTTCTGATGGACTCCAAAATCTAACTCAAGTGTCAATATGGGCACTGATTAGGAGCCTAGGCCACGGTCCAATGACGGATTGTGTTTTTAACAGACACCGATATTACTGTACTTATAATACTTTTACAATATTCAGTGGTTAGACACTGGAGTTTAGGGAGTCGTTCTCGCTCACCCCGGTACACTACTGCATAAATCCTTAAACAGACCCAACAACCTACGGCTTGGCAGGAGGTAACGTAGAGAGCTTCGACCGGGGGGATATTTGCTCTATCTTGCAACATGTGTCATGAGTCCATGAGGACGGTTCTTCTGCCTCTTGTGGACGGTGCATAGATGCCTCTGATGCCCCTCTATATGTGCGATTGTAGACGTACCTCAAAGTCACGTTTGAAAGCCCTACAGACATGCAAACTCAGCGGGGGCTGAGAGGGCTGTGAAGCTGATAAATACCCATGACTATTGCATAGTAATTCGTCCCAGGAACGACTGCGGGTTGTAATCTTTCGCACTTTAGATAAAAGCCAGATGTTAGTGTTAGTTGGTTTTTTGTCCAATGGTAAAGGGTCTATAGTAACTCGACCCACACAGGAGTACTTGTGAATGGTTAAATAGCACTCAACCAACAGGAACAATACTTCATTGGACCGTGACTCCTAAGCAGTGCCCAAATTGACATCTGCGTTAGATTTTGGAGTCCATCAGAACCGGCTGATAATTGCGGTACTGGTCTGTTACAATGGTGATACTTCCTGTTACCTTGGTGCCACTGGCAGTGCTGTTGCCAGGTGGTGCTCCCTCTCCTCTTATTGGCCGTTCTTGGCCCGAATGTGTGTCTCTACAGGAAGTAAACAAAAAGAGGTTCAGCAGCGTCTCACATACTGAGACAACGCAAACATTGGCAGAGTTGGTAAACTCTTCTGCTTCATTCTGGTGAGGTGGAGGGAAAAAAAACTCCAGAGAAAAGATTCTGCACCGAAACTAATTTGTTACGACTTTAGGTGTAAATGAGCGATATGGCTATAAGGTTGCTGCACTTCCATCCTCTCTAATGGAAAAGCAGGAGGGCAAGACCAACAGTGCGCATAGGTCACTCACTCTCTGAGCCAATATCAGAGATGATAAAAGATAGCTCGACTCTCTCTCAAGATGCTAGCTATCGACTCAAACGGGTGAACCCAAGTGCAAGCAGAACCATTGATAAATCCTACTGAGGTGCTAGAGTGCGCACAACAGGTTTCTGTCGTCAGACTCTATTCAAAAGGTGCTTCACTAAGGGGTTCAAAAAAACAATCTCTCTCCATACCCTTCATGGAAGGATGAAAGGGCTGCAGCATAAACTTTAACTGTTTATGGGGCCAAATTGTTATCTACCAACATTCGAGGGTAGGTTCACACGAGAGGTTAAGAGATAGCACTGTCTAGTTGTGGCAGTGCATCTCTGTGCCATGGAAGATGCCACGGTTTCAATACGAGCAGCTGGGTCATGGTCAGAAAACCATGACATGCTTGTCTACTGCCACCAAAATATTTGAGGCGAGACCTTTGAGGAATCGGGGAATTACGTAAAGGAGAGCTCTGAGCCAGGGTCCTACATCCACTCCTAGAGTTCGAGAGGAGGGTTCTCCCATGCGTTTGTGGAGAAACACACTGCGCATTATCTTTGAATAGATCCACCTCTGCCTCCCCAAACCTGTCCCACAACAAGCTAAAAGATTGTGACATTTAGTTCCCACTCGTGGGAGAGACCCCCTGCAAGACATTAAGTCCGCTGTGCGGTTCTGTACCCCCGGTGTACACTGCTTTGATGGAGAGCAGGTGCTTGTGAGAACACAGATGAGGGCTCCTAGCTATTTCTAGGAGCCGGGCCAAGCAGAAGGTACAATGACGGTTGATGTACGCTACCGCTATCATGTTGTCTGTGCTCATGGTGACATCTGTTTTTAAGTGGAGGAACAAAGTGTTAACACTTTAAGCACCGTTGACAGCTTGAGACAGTTTAAGTGCAGGGATGGGGGCTTCTTCAACTTCTGGACTGGAACATTCCACACCATCCAGAGAGGAAGGCGTCTGTGTACATCAGTGTGTGTGTGTCGTAACTCTCCCAAGCAGAGCCCCTGATGACACTCACAGGATTTTTGAGTACGCCAGGTCTGACTGCAGTGAGGAGGAATGTGTAGCATTCGCCTTTTGTGCCAAACTGGGTTGAGACAGAGGCAGCCGAACCACCTCTGGTTCTCCACACAAGGAGGAGTACCAGGGAGACCACCACATATGGCTTACGGACATGGAAGCTGGTTGTACTGGTATTGTATTCCCGGGAAGTGAACCGCAGGAACGTTCTGCGTTTCGGAATGACAGGAATGTAGAAATAGGCGTCTCCCACATCAATGGAAGTGAACCAACTGGCGGGACGTTCACATTCCAACACAAGCCTGATTGTCAGCATGTAAAAAAAGGCCACTTCATAATGCACCTGTTTTGGAGAGAAAATAGCGAGAACAGAACCCTTCATCCTCTTCTGGAGGGTCGTGGAAGATTGCTTCTTTCTCCAGAAGCTCCCCCAGCTCAATAGCCAGTGCTCCAATTTGGGTCCGAGAGGACATTACCGCCAGGAAATGAATGCGTGCGTGTGTCATCATCATACATTTCATTATTGTTGCAGTTGTTCCGAGTTTGCTGTACATGCATAGTTGTATCTTGCTGCAGTGTATTGTTTATTTCTGAGGAGGTGCACAACCAACACTCTGAATGCACACAAGATAGTACATGCATACTCGACAACACAGAGTGCTTTTATACTTGTTTTTTTTACCTAACTGGGATTTTTGTCCTTCCCACACTGCTTATATGGACTAGTCTGTCATGGTGGTATCTCTGTTAAGACTACAACCAGTTCAAATCTATTGACTGAGAAGGTATGTAAAGCACCCACATGAACCAGCATAAATTCGGTTTCAGGATGACAGGGAACCAGTTAAAATGTTACAGAATCCAACATATTACAAACTGAACTGTAGACGAAGGGCAGTAGTCATCAACTAACCTCAATCTGTGGCCCTCTACAGGACAAGCTGTGGTACTGTAGGAGGCTGCAGCATGTTTAGCTGCTGTGGGAAATAGTTCTCTTTGTTGACTTGTTTTCTCTCCCCCATCACTGGTTGAGCCTGTCTGGGTGCTTGGTCCTGTCACTGCAGCTGTGCCTTGATTGGATGAAGAAGTAGACGTCTCAACATTACCTGGATCCCTATTCCCTCCCACTGGAGTACCATCTCTGTGATGTCCAGCCTCTCCTCCACCTTCTTGACTTCCTCCAAACCTTCGCCCCATGGTGCGAGTCACTGCTCCGTACTCCCTCCCCTCCTCCACCTGCTCCTGCTGCAATGCTGAGTGAATCATATCCAGAGTGACTGCCACTGCTTTCCTGTCATGAGTGACTTTTACCGACTCGGTGGGACCTCCTTGGGCTAAAAGAGGCATGGTGTGACCGCTACCAGTACGACTGACATTGGGAAGGAGGTTTGAAAGGGAGTTGATGTACAACTCTGCCTCAGAGTCCAACTGCTGCTGCAGCTGCGCCTGACGCTCTGCCCGCAACTGTGAGATGGCGAGTCGGAGAACCTCAAAGTCTGTGTCTGAATGGCGCGGCAAAACTTCTTTATAGGAGGCGTCCGGGACGAGCTGGTCAGACCGATGGGGGAGAGTGGGGTGGGCGGAGGCGGACTGCCGGAGAAGATGCTGGGGTGGGTCATGGGAGAAAAGGGGACGAATGTGTTCAGGGAAGATAGAGGGAGAGCGTTCAGAGCCTGACACAGAGTCGCTACGAGTCAGCTGCCTCCCGAGACCTGAGGACAGAAGAGAGCACTGAGCGGAACAACAAGACAGCAGAACACAAAGAGAGATGATACAACTTGAGTAGAGATGGTAGAGAGCTGCAGGAGGATCTAGAATAATGGATTTTGGCCATCAGCATCTTGGCTTGTTGCAACCAGAATTGACACGAGAGGGTGGAGCTAAGTGCAACCGAACCCTGAATAAAACATTTTTAGGGCGACCAAAATGTTAGTCAACACGGACAAGACCATGGTAGTGACCTGTCAATCGATAGGTAGCCCTGACTTAAAGCATACCCTTCTTTATCGTTTATTTGACTCTAGATAAAATACTGAAGAAGACTTCAAACTAGTGCTTGAGAACATAAACTCATGTTTACTGAGGTAATAAATCAAGTGAGTAGTAGAGTCATCTTCTTAAAGACTTTTATACAATCAGACTTCTTTTTGCAACCAGAGGAGTCGCCCCCTGATGGCCATTAGCCAACATTGGTTTCACTTTGCCGGAGGTTGCCGCCTGCGCAGTTGAGATGCTAAAGTGATGTTTGCATGCTAGGCACAAGGTAAAGGTTCACAGTTTGTTGAGCTTAGGACCCAAATTAAAAAGGCCATTTTTTTCCTTAACATTAGCAATTAACAATTAAGACATTTATTTGCTATTGCATACTTTTAAAAGGCAGACAAGGATTTTAATCAAGAGTTTGAGCAGATTTAACATGTTAACGACTGTCAGGTTAAGTTCTTGAAAAGTACTACTTCATATGTGCAAAAAGCTTCACACGGAGCTGCACAAAATCTGATGAATGGCATAAAGTGATGTCACTTGAGTCTGTGTCAGTTGGGGTCGAAGTTTAAATATGAAATGAGTGGGTGTGGAGTTTGAAAGACGAGAGCTTACCAGACCTCTGTGGTCCGCTCTTCATCTCTGCTTGAGGCTAGCAGCTGGTGGCTACATTAGCCGCTATTAGCATAACACACTTGAATCTCTGACTGAGGTTTGAGTTGTATTATGGGTAATACAGCATGTCTAATTAGATGCACACCACACCTCAAGCTATGTATTTGAACAGGATTTTCTTTATTGTCTAATTGAAATGAAATGTTCTTCACATACTGACCTTTGGGAGCCAGCATGTCATCTATGATTGGCTGCCTGTCCTTGATGTCATGGTAACCGACTAGTCTGGTGAAGTTGTGCAGAATTTCGTCAATACTGGCCACGATGATGCCACTTTTGGTGTAGGCGGGGAACATCTCAAAATGATGCTCTGAGTGAGAAAAAAGAAAGACGAAGTAGTAACATCAGTGCTACAGATCAGGAGGTGAATTAAGCTTTCAAACCTCAGGTAACCACACGCACCGGTCAGGAAGACTGTGTGTCGGTACTGTGTGTACTGGGCCTGGAGCTCCATCAGACAGTCCAGGTGAGGTGACTGATGGTTCCTCGTGTCGCAGTGATGATATGGGAGGAACTCGACAATCTGCCGCTTCTGATAGGTCGACAGTAGGTCCAGTAGATTGGCTGCATCGTTCCTGAACCTGACGACCAAACGAACAACACACGTCAAAAGACCTACTTTCCTGTCTGTACTGTCTGCAACCTGTATGATCTGCATTCCACCTGCAGTGGGAGAGAGTATGTTAACTATGCTTCTGTTGGAGAGAAAAAGTCATCCGGGCTCGTCGACGTTGGTGTCTACAGCCAGTTGCATATAGTGTGTGAACCTCCATGGGTTTTATTTCATCCACACTGTCTCCATTACTACAGGAAGAGTCCATGTTTTGGAGATCTTTATCTTTGCTGTAACCCTTTGAACATTAGTTACACATTTTACTTGAAAAGAAAATCACACCCCTTCTTCTCAGTCATAAAAAATGGCCATAACTCCACTTGGAAGTGACATAAAAACATGAACTTCTTATAACTTCAAATCTTGTTTTCCTCAACATCAAAGTAATCCAATTTAAAGTCGTCAGAGTCCGTGGTTAAAATGCAAACAGGAACTTGCCAGTGGCTGATTCAACTTGACTTTTAACGGTGTACATGTGACAACATGTAAAGAAATCTAAGCTTTAAAAAGAAAACGAACTGACCACATGGCAAAAACACAAATTCATCCGATATGTAAGAAAGAATAAGTTAAATAGAAGGGATGAAATCCATCAAATGTTGTCAGTACATTTTTATGCCATTATAAAGGTTCCGTCTTAAAACATGTCTGACATGCAAAATGATGAATGTGGCCTAAGTCATTCTAAAAAACATCAATATTATGACCTAGACATGAAGTGAGGACACCATAAGCCTGTAAATCAAAGGAGAGGCTATATTTCTAAAAGGTTAGTAGAGTTTAATTCTCTTTCAACTGGGCTGTTAATCCATTCATTAAACATACGGTTTCATCTTGTGTGTGTTGTGCTGCAGTTTGGAGCATTATATAGTGCAGACACAGCATCGGTACCTGGCTTGCTCTTTTAATTTCTTGTGGGTTTGCCAGTGAACCTTCCACCTCCAGACGCTTGCTAGAGAGCTGTGCTGCTCCAGGACCAGCAGCAGTGAAGCCAGTTGATCTGCAGAACAACATCTCATCAATCAACACGTCAGTTAAGTAAATACAAACAAGTTCACGATCAGTGATGCATTTGTCTCATCATTCACAAAGACAAATGTCATTTGTATATCCTGTAAATAAAATTCACAATGTGTTGGACAAATTGGACTTGTGTAAGACTGGAAAATGTTACATTACAATGACCTAACAATGCATTTTGTTTAATGCTGGTATTGGATCGCTAATCCCTGATTTACCGCGAGTGATGAAGTCTGGATTGAGGACGAACTCGTCCGAAACGATGCAGCCTCCAGAGACAAAAAGCTCGTCGCAGCTGTTGTTTCTGATGTCGTCCAGCGAATTGATTCCCACAAACACCACAGAGGCCTGTCGCTTCAGAGACACCAGACCTGGGATCTGATGCACACAAACACATTAACAGCACCTCTTATTAGTGATCCAGCAAATCTGTCAGGCAGAAGAAAAAGCTGCTATGGTCGACGGTGAATTCCTTCCAGTGGCGGTACACAAAGTGGATATGACTCCTCACTCCACACAGATAGAAATCTAATGGAAACAAAGTCCCAGCTAATATGTAGTGTCCTGACTGCCAGTGGCTGTGACTAATTCTCGAAGATTTAACTTGTATCTTGTGAGACGTGCAGGAGCCCACAGGAGAAGAACTACAGAGCAGCCAGGAGTCGGTGTGGAGACACTGAGGAGAGGCTGATTTTACCTGCGGCCTCCTAAACTAACTTAACACCTCTGACGGCTTTTGTTTGCACTGACATCATAGGCATTTAACAAAATGAGACATCTGTGCACGTCAATTAAATTTAATGCGTGACAGAGCTGTGTGTCGCGCCTCTTTTATAAAAACTTCCGCAGAGAATACACCTGTGCGTCCTCGCTCATAGCTCCTTCAGCAGAGAACCCTTTTCTCCTTGAGATGCATTTTAGGAATCGAGACATCCTTCCTCAAACCGGTTTTCGGGGCACAGACGAAGGAGAGAGGAGACGAGGAGGCTCAAGAGGGGTAGATTTTCTCTCTCTCTCTACACAAATAAATGGCAAATTAGAAAATAAGCAGCCAAAAGAACTAAGAGAGGGGGCGAACATAAAAGCAGAACTACACAGAGACCAAAATAACTTAACTTATTACTGTATTTCATTGTAGTTACTTAGTTAATAAAGGAAATACAGGTAAAACTCTAATCAACACTCAGTGCCCAAGAAGCAGATTTCACGCACTGCTGAATGCTCAAATGTCCACAGTGACAGGAGATGCATGTTTATTCTGAAAGGGATTTTTCACTATTTGATAGCCCTCATTATCTGCCATCATCACTGCAAACAAAGATCTAAACCAAGAGTCTGGAGACTCCTGCACATTTATGTTTGTCGGTTTGTGGAGTGACAGCTACTTCGGATTCACCGCTGGACACAATAACTGTGGTGGGAAATTCTGCAATAAAGAGCTCACAATCAAGGAGTTTTGTTATCTGGTTTGCAAACTGGCACAGTTCCGTTTTAATACAGGGAGATATCTTTGATCCACAGTAACGGATCAATACAGGGAGATATCTTTGATCCACAGTAACGGATCAATACAGGGAGATATCTTTGATCCACAGTAACGGATCAATACAGGGAGATATCTTTGATCCACAGTAACGGATTAATACAGGGAGTTGTTTTGATCCAAAGCTACGTTTTAATACAGGGAGTTGTTTTTGAACCACAACAACCCCCTGGTGTAGGGAATTGTCTTTGGTGGTATGACTCAGAAAAACCTCCTGAGCTAAAGCATCTGGTCACTCAAGATAAACCTGTTATTTCTAAAAACATCAGTGATCAGAAAGTACAGTTTTGCCTTTAAACAACACTTTTCTGCTTCTAGAGGGCAAATAAACTGAAGTCTGCCTCTCCTGTCAGAGCAAGGTAAAATGTAACCCTTTGTGGACCTGCGAGTGAAGTCAGTAGCTGTTGAACTGATCATTCAGAGGTACCTTGTGTATGTGTCGAGTCATGTCTTTGTTCTTAATGATGACCAGCAGTCTGCCTGCAGAGTTTTCTTGGTTCAGGAAGTCCGCAGGAGTCTGCTCCGTGTTACCCTGCTTCAACAGGTATTCCTGCAACGTAAGAGCGCACACACAAAAATATAATAATACTACATCAATAAGGGCCGACTGTTGCATCTGGTTGTAGCTGCTGCAGTAAAGGGGCCCATCTCACGTTGCGTAAAATCGAAAAATGCTAAAAAACCATAAAAATAGTCATTTATTTCTAGATCTGGGTGCAAAAAGGATCAAATGAAGGTGCGATACTACTTGGTACTGGGTTATTTTGGTGGATAAATTAACCCCCAACTGGTGTCCGTGTTCATATATATAAATGTTTGTTTATTGAGACTATTATATTAATTACCTTTCTAACTTTTTGATCAGTAAATGTACTTTTCACCAGAAACGTCAAACAAAAATATGAACGTAGGTTTGTATGTATTTAGCATCAGCGCTCATCTATTTAAACACATCTCAACTGTGCTGCCCGTGATGTTACCTTGACGTCTTCATGGACCTGGTCCCCTGCCTCGCTGCTGTGGAGGTAGAACTGCATGGAGTTCCTCTTGATGTCTTTGAAAATCTCCACCAGGTTGTTGAACACCTCTGGCTGCAGCCGGCTGATCAGGGAGCTCAGGGCGGCAGCCGGAGGAGTGAGGCATTCGTCGGGCACAGGGACGGACTCAGAGGCCGGACTGGAGACGCGCTCGGGGGGGTGGGGGGGTTCGGTCGAGACGCCGCTGAATCCTGGAAATGTCACCTCACAGTTTGTAACCTCAAGGCCACTCCCACCTTCCACACCAGGGGTACAATGCACAGTCCTGGTAGAGCTGCTGTCTTGTGTTGGTCTGTTGTGAGCGACTGTTCTGGTGATCTCTAAAGAGTGACTTTGCTGTGGTTTCATTGAGGACTGTGAGGACTTGTTCGGAGGAGGTATGAGGACGGAAGTGTTGGGAGGTTTGTAGACAGAACCGGACTTACAGGTAGCGACAGATAAAGTGACATGAGAGGTCGGGGGGTTCCTGTTGTTAGCAGCATCAGGAACCCGTTTGGTGATTGCATGCGGCGGCCACACTTCACCTCCTCTGGAGTGTGCAGGACTTTCAGCAGCTGTCAGTTCACCACAGAGACCGCCATCCTCTCTGCCCGTTGTAGCATTACCCGCTCTGATACTGGACACAAAATCACTAACGCTGCTTGCCAGCGCGGAATCGACATCGGTGCGGCTGGTGCTGGGCTTGGGGTTCGGACAGCGGTTATCAAACTCTGTTAGCATGCTGTCGATGTGGTCCTGTAGTGAGCAAACATAGTCCTGGACTGGGGGACAGGGGTTGTAGAAGGTAACGTACTGTGAAAACTGAGAAATGGGAGTGCGTGGGATTGTGTGTTGAGGTGTGTAGGTTTCTGTGTTTGAGGTGGAGTGTGGGGACTGTGGGAAGCTGTAATGGATGCTCTGCTCCTGCAGGAGGAGCTGTATCTCAGAGGAGAAGTTGCTCAGGTGTTTGTCCACAACGCTGTCGAGGCGAGAGGGAGGTGAGAAGACGGAGGGAGAGAACAAAGAACCACCTACCAGTTCCTTCTCTTCTGCTTTTTGCTCCTTATCACTAGCTACCACATGTATCATTTCCACTTCCTCTCGGTCTTGCCCACTCTGAATTGGCTGAGTTTCTTGTTCCTGCACTAAAATGTCTGCCTGTACCTCCCTCAACTCCCCCGTTTCCCTCTCTGCATCTTCCTTCTCTCTCTCAGTGGATGGTGGTGGTGAGGGGCTCGTCCTCCTCTTTGGAGCTGGAGGGATAGACGGCTGGATGGATACAGGAACAAATGGCTCTTCGCTCTTCTTTTCTTTCCCCGGAGGTTTCTCTTCTATGTCTTTAGGCAGTCCTGCAGGAGGCAGAATACACAATAGATGCGTAATTAGTAAAGAAATACAAAAACTGGCTCTGGTGCCCCAGAACATCTGAATTGACAGACAAACTTTTTTTTATACATTGCATACATCACATAGGGAAACTTAAGAGCTTAACTTATATGACAAGCTAAATTCTTAAGCAAAAAGTGGCTGTAATATTTGCACTCATAACTCCAATCTGCAGTAAAAAAAAAATCAAAAAAAAAAATCAAAGAAATTTCGCACTGAATGCAAAAGGCCAAAAATTCTCAGCATCAACATTAGCTCTACGTCTACTTTCTCTAAGCCAGGCTTCAGGAAATACTCAAGCAGGAAATTAAATTAGACCCATTTTTAAAATGATCAGTTCATAACTGTAATATCCATGACATGGCAGTCAGATGCAACAAGTAGACCCAGAGAGTGAGGTTACCGGCAGACTCCCTGGAGGCTGTGGGGGCTACCTGCTCCTCGTTAGCACCACTGTGGTCCTTGTTAAACGGGCTGAGCTCATTAGGCTCCGAGGACTGGCACCACGGGGGAAGAGGGGGGCGGCCGAGTGGAGTGTCCGGGCATTGGGAAGGAAAAGGGTGGGGGCTGGGCCGTGGAGATGGGCATTGGGAGGGAGAGGGGGGAGGGCTGGGCTCCGGGGACGGGCATTGAGACGGGGAAGGGGGCGGACTGGGCTCTGGAGACGGGCATTGGGAGGGTGACGGGGGAGGGCTGGGGTCAGGCGATGGGCATTGGGAGGGGGAGTGGGGAGGGCTGGGGTCGGGGGACGATAACTTGAGGAGGGAGGGTGGAGGGTTTCGTTCAGGAGACGGGGCGGGGCTCTTCCTCGGAGGTTTGGTTGTTGCGGTGACGCTCGTTAGCGTGGCGAGGTGCTGGAAGCGAGGGTCCTGAGGGAGGTTTCTGTCCCTCTGGGTGTACCTCTGTGAACACACACCTGCAAACAAGAGTTAACTGTCATTTGTCACTCTGGTCACTTCTGTGAATCTGCAATCTGGTCCGGAGGCACCACAAGTAGTAAAGACACACATTTTTCATGTAAAGGATATTTGCTGTGTCGTAAAGAAGCAGCATTGCTTAAACTTTTTCCTTTGATATTATAATGTGTTCGTGTATGGGATGGATATCGGCTGGTGTTAATGTTTGTATATGTGTTAACTTAATCTGTGACAATGGTTTGTTTGCCGATTTATATTTCAAAAAAATACGTAAACACTAATGACAACTATTTGACGTTCATCCTGAGTGGGCAGACAGACAGACCTGTAATGGGGATGAGGACCCACGGGATCTCCCCCTCTTCCTTTTCGTATCCTCCTGCTCTCCTCTCGAGCCCTCCTTCTCCTCCTCCTCCTCTGTGGTGATTCATCTCCCCGCTGTGGGAGCTGGGACTGAATCCCTCCAAACTACTGATGCTGCCTGCTGTCTGCTCCTAGAGACACCAAACCACACACTTTAATAACCTTACCTGCTCCATTTGAAGTATTTATGTTAAGAAATCCTGACCTGCTGTAAAAGGAGGTCTAGAAATGTTAGAGGATCAACTCTTAAGGCTTACGTTCAATTGGAGATTTACACAAAATGCATATTAATGACCAAGTAATGTTTTGTGCAATGTCTGACTGTAGCTACATTTACTAGCTCTTGTACTTTCGCAAGATAACAATACAATAATCCTTCTGGGATAAAAATAAATAAAGTGATATCAATAACATTATTAGTTTGGTCGAGACCTAAAAGGACGCATTTGGATTTTTTCAAGTCAATCTTAAAACAATACTCATGCTAAACATATGTTTAGAGATTATTAGTAATCCTCAGTGCATCTAAACTTCATGTTAGCTTTATTGTTTACACAGAAACAGGAGTGTGCATCTCTTACAGCGTAATCTCACTATGAAAGAATCACTTCACAGCTGGTTCTGGTACATATGAGCATTACATAGGTATTGTACTAAGACAGACTTGACAAAATATATATGCTTGTAGGGTCAATATCATTAAATGTTTAAGAATGACGATCTATCTTTTAATGAGACATTTTGTATTCCTGAACAGGGGGTACAAATGATAAGAGTTACAAATCTCACAGCTTCATAATCTGCCTCTATAGCCCCAATCACCACCAGTCTTGTACACATGTTAGGTCTAAAAAGTTCTGATTATTTGAAAGAACAGCGGGTTGCAGATCCTCCACACGGAGGACGGTGTTGAGGCTTCAAAGCCTCACTGTCAAACCAGAAAAACTAGAATGACAGAGTAAACAACAGTGTGAGGTTTCATGCTTTCACCGCTCTTAGTTCTAGCTGGGTTCCTAATGTACACTATGATCATGTGACTGTGCTGTTTACAGCGGACAAATGAAACGACACTATCAACCTAAAAAGTTGTCAGTTACCTCCAGCTCGTCCTGCTTCCTCAGGTCAATGTCACAGTTGGTGGGCAGACCCAGCTTGGTGGCCAACCTATCAAACGGAGAGGATTCCCTCTGACCCTCCTCTCGCACTTCACCAACGCTCCGATTGGTCGTTCCTCTCGCGGCCTGGTTGAGGTCTGTTCGCGGAGAGGGAGACGTTCATTTTCAACACGCTGTTTTGCATCAAGAGTTTTCAAAATACTGTAACTAGAGATGCAGCGGTTAAAAGGGTTCCATTGTTGTCCCGGTGGCTAAAAGCGGATCCCCTCGGGTGCTGAATGACTTCAGACCAGTGGCATTGACTTCACTGGTCATGAAGTCATTTGAACATCTGCTCAAAAAGGACTTTGTTGGATAAAAGGCTCTGAAGTTCATGCAGTTTGTATTCAAGGGAGGGACGGGAGAAGAGGAGGCCTCAGTCAGTTCCTGAAGGTCCTAGAAACCATGCCAGACTAATATCATCTGTGTTTAATACTATCCAGTCACTGTCTCTCCTCAGGGCTTCGTCCCGACCCCTTTGATGTTCATACTATATACCGATGACTGTAGAAGCCAGCATGGGGACAGGCACATCCTGAAATTCACTGATGATATAGTCATCATCAGCCTGGTCCAAAAAGATGAATGTGAGCATGGGCTGGTGGTGGATCAGTTGTCAACTGGTGTGATAAAGCCTTTCTCCAGTTAAATGCCACAAAGACCAAGGTTATTTATACATATATCAATAATTTAAATTCATGGTTTAGGATGATGAATTATGTGTCTTGTGAACCTGCAAATCAAGTGTCCCATCTTGGATTATAAAGTGACAGAAGTGAATTGCAATTTCCTTGTGTTTTGATGTAACCTGACCAACTGGAATAAGACAATGAAAGAATAAAAAGAGCGAAATATATATAATTAAATATTATAATTAAAAGTTGAACAGAGGTGGTACAGCCTTTGGGGTCTGTGGTCAAGCAGAAAGTCCCTGAATTCGGTCACCTGTTAGCAGACTGAGAAGTTTAGCGGCTAGTTCAGATCCATCTTCCCTCAGATCAACGTCCTTCAAACCCACCGAGCCAATCACAGACGCAAGAAAGCCGGGAGAGGAAGGGACCTGGCTTCCTTCAACTAGGAGCCAAATGAAGAGTAAGAGCATGTCAGTGAGCAACACATCAACCCATTAATTACAAGAACTATAAAATAAGAGAAGAAAGTATGTTCAGCCTGAAAGCAAAGGTGTTAGCAAGGCCGATGCGCACATAGTTATGTAGATGCTACACTGAAGGTCTGCGGCGATCTGCTTGTGCCTCCATGGAAATGAGCAGATAAAAAAAAAAAAAAAAAACAAAAACGTAAGTGTCTTAGACCCTAACCCTCCTCACCGGGAATCCTGCCGTGTCTTCCTGGTTCCTGCGATGCCTTCAGGAACTTCAGCGTCCTCTCTGCCGTCACCTGCTCCAGTTTCCTCTTCCTCCCTGGTACCTTCACCCCTCCTCCTTCCTCTCTCTTCACCTCGTTCTCTGCATTCCTCTTACAGGTCAATATCAGGTTTACCAGCTGCTGTATCTGAGCAACACAAAAGGAAAACACATTGGAGTTCACTCTGGCAAAGACAACATGAATGAAATCTACACTACACCATACTGACGCCATATCTGTAAAGGAATCTTTGTCCATGCCGTTACGTTTTGGTGGTCATGTCAGTTTTTACCCTTTCATGTTTGGTCTGTTCGTCTCTAGTGTTGCTGGCCGCCTCCTCCTTCCCCGCCGCCTCCTCCTTCCCCGCCGCCTCCTCCTTCCCCGCCGCCTCCCTCTGGCTCTTCTTGAGCTTCACCTCCGGCGGCTCCTCTGGGCTGCAGTGCGCCTCCACCATCTGCCTGGCCCGGGCCACCGACAGCAGGTAGAGGGCCGGGCTGTACAGGTAGGAGCGCAGATAGCCGTCCATGTTCACCCGGTGGTGTTTGGGAGTAGGGAACAGCTTTCCTTGCTCATCTAGTTCGGAGTCGTACTCGCCCATGGGGTACTGTCGTACCTGGAGAGGAGAGACCGGAAAAATGTTCTTTAATCTGTTATGAGGAACGATTCAAGGAATAAACCAATGGACCAAATACCTGCCAAAACTGTGTGGACACCCCTACAATTGAAATCAATTGAAGAACCCAACTGGTCGTACCTTGCCATCGTTCATGCCGATGAGGTATTCCCGTGCCTGGCGCTCCACACCAGCAGACAGCTCAGGGTGAGGGTTGGCGCGGGCCTTGACCAGAGCGTGATGCAGCGCTGGAATAAACTGGCTCAGCCGCGGCATCACTTTAACACTAGACACCACCGACTCGGAGGCGTTATGGGTCGAGGAGGCACACCTTAATGCTGCATTAAGAGAACATTAATATTTACATCAATGCTTGAGTTTGTTCTGGAGCAATATAATATTATAAAATTAATAATTTGAATTCATGGTTTAGAATGATGAATGACCAAAGGG